GAAATCAAAGTTTTCAAACTAATCACACGGAGGAGGATTTAAACAAGATGAATAAAAAGAAAAAAAACATCCAAAGGGCATACCACTCATGGGGATTATCCCCATAGACGTTAGTATATCTGATTTATTCTCTTAAATCATGTAACGTGTATTATTCATAATTATCTTCAGAGATGGATCCACACGTATACAACACATCTACATAATTATCGTAACTAGCATAGAAATAAATCACTATTGCACCGTGATGGAAAATTGCAATGCGATCGTAGGATAATTATAGTCGACGAGTTTTCGATGAAGATCAAAATTCTATGATATTTACTTAATCATTGTTAAAAAATATAAAATATACTAATACAAAAAATCCCTAACAACGACAATAATGATCGATACAATCAATATAGTAATTTCGAAACTTTGAATTAACGGACTACAAAACTGATAAAGAAAAATGCTTTTTTTCTTTCATTCGCAAATATTAAAAAAAAAAAACAAATATAATAAATAAACAAACGATGAAAAAATGAATTCGATTCGGATCAATGAAGGAAAGAAAACAAATCGTTTTTATATTATATAATAAATGGAAAAATATGAATATAATTAAAAGAATAATAAAATATACCGTTCTATATTTTACAATTTCAATTAATGTATCATTAATCGATGGTTTATACCACTTAAGAAATCGAAGGTGGACTACTCTTTCCAAAGATATTACGTAATATCTTCAACTAGTGTGTAAACAGTTAATAATTATATAATGACGATTGCATTACGATTAGATTTCAATGTGGATACATATAAATTACAAATGCCTATGGTAATGCAAATAAACTATCTAACTAGTATCGAAGTAAAAGATAGAAAATTATTCCACCATTGACATTTACGAGGGAGGTCTAATTTATGTTGAAGAAAGAAAGAAAGAAAGAAAAATTAATACGAAACGAAAGAAACGTAAAAATCTAAAAAAAAAAAAGAAAGGAATTATTTGGTTTATTGGTAACATGATTAAAAAAATGTTTTGAATTTTAACCGTGGGAAATACTTCGGATTATTATAAGGGAAGATTAGAAATAATAAAAAAGAAAAAAAAGGAAAAAATAAAGGAAGAGTTACGTGTTGATTTGTTTGACCAATAGGAAGATACACGCACACATTAACAAACGATGTCATCCGTGTCATCGTTTCTGATTTTATCCTTTGATAATAATTGAAAACTCGGTATATAATAATTACATCGAGAAACTTAGGAGGAAGGATAATTGATACTTTCACGAATCTCTCGAAAAGGGATGTGGAAAAAATGTAAGAGGAAAGAAAACTTTATTGTATGTTAAGAAAATAATAAATTTTATCACACGTGGGGTATATTAACTCACATCCATACTCACGAGTTTATCATATTATTTCATATAATTGAAAATAATGTATCGTTTATATGGAATGAATAAATTGTTCAAGTTATGATAGTGAATGAAATTGATTTAAATTGTTATTAAAAGTTTCATTTTGATCATATTTATATTTGAAATATGTATATTATATTTGAAAATAATGACATTGTTAGTTGTTGTTTATTATCATATAATAACTCGAGAAATATAGATGTGAGAAATTAAATAAATTTAATTTAAATAACAATTTTTAACTGTTTACACATGATACATTTAGATTAATTTTAAAAAATTTTTTCATATGTAATTATTATCAACAAATTTTTCATTAATAGAGAACTTGTTATATTTAAAATCAATTTTTTCTTTATAATTAGACGGTAATTGTGTCGTTTAAATATTATATTATAAATAAATATATATATATACGTAATATAAGATTGTTCAGGAAAATAATTTTGTTAATAATAATAA